GCTAGCCCATCTCCATTAATCTGTGTATCGCCAGATGGCTGTGGCTTACCAGGTGATGTTCCAGCAGGGCTACATGGCTTCTCACTGACTCCACCTTCTTTCTCCCAGCATTCAGTTTAGTTTTCCCCACCTACCTTTGTTCTGTGTTGCTATAGGCCAAAGCAGTTTCTTTACTCATTAACCAATAAAAACACACATAGACAGAAAGACTTCCCACACCATTTCCCCTTTTCTGTTTAAATATAAAGGAAGGCTTTAACTTTATTACTACAACAAATTAGCACTCCAATTTGTACTAGCTAAATCCACTTAAAACCTGAGAGGACTTGGAAAGGAATTCTAGACAGTTTCTGTGTGGTTATTTTGGTTCTGGGCAGCTGGGAACAAATAAACATCCTCCTACTACACTCTCTCCCCAACTGGGTTTGGTTGATACTTTCTCATAGGTAGTTGGGGTCATAAAATTTTGGCAGTGTAATCCAGAGTCACACACCCTTCTCCCTGCACTGTAGGAAGACACACCTCCTTACCCATGCTGTCTATGTGGTGTCTGTCAGGATTTTTGCAGTCTGTGTTCCCAAAGACTTGTGAAGTGAACTTTTTCCTGATGATTGAATCAAATCAATACACAATATGTTATACTCTTACAGTTTTAAAAGTCTGACAGTCTTTAGTTTACATATCTATATTTCAAGAAAATGATGTACAGTAGGTGATTTCTGTTTCAGTGGGTGAGTTTATTAATCCTGGGGCAAACAGGCTCAGAAACTGATAACAAGGAGCAGATAGGGACAGGAGAGAGAGAGAGAGAGAGAGAGAGAGAGAGAGAGAGAGAGAGAGAGAGAGAGAGAGAGAGAGAGAAAGAGAAATACTGTCGAGTCAGGAGTTAGAGCATCCATGTGGACAGCTGGAGTAGCCTGGTTGAGAGAGCAGACAAAAGGCATCATCATCTGGGGCTCCAGCCTCTGGCAGGAAGGACTAGAGAAGCCTGCTGAGGCAGAAGCTCAGGGTTTAGGGTCCAGGCAGAGACTTCTGAGTTAGAGAACAAATTGCAGCATATAAAGGCAACATTATTAAGTCAGGGGCTTACAACATCCAGCAGAAACCAGTTGGGCAAGCAGAGGCTGTCAACTAAATTTACTGATTGAGAGTCCTAGAAGGAGGGATTTCCTTCTTCCACCCCATGGCTAAATCCACAGCCTCTCTTTCCTACAGTAGACTCTTTCGTATCATGAGGCGAGCACCCTTAGCCTCTGCTGTCTGTCCTCAGGAGCTCTGTGTTTTACTCTTGGGCTGTTCTAGTGTTCTCTCCTCTGCCACAGTTGGGGGGCATGGTCACCCCATTGGGGGGTATGGTCACCCCATTCCTGGACATGAGGTGTTGGAGGACACATTGAAGCAAAAATGATTGGTCTGAAGTGTGTGTGTGTGCTCATGCACATGTATGTAATCCTGCTTCCAGACACAGCTTTTCAGTGAACTCAAACAGCATATGACAATCTACTGGTATGGTGTCCATTACATATCTGTGGTGGTTTGAATGAGAATGGCCCCCATAGGCTCATATGCTTGAATGTTTGGTCATCAGGAAGTGGAACTGTTTGAAAGGGTTACAAGGATTAGGAGGTGTGGCCCTATTGGAGTAGGTGTATCACTGGGGGTGGGCTTTGAAGCTTCAAAAGTCCATGCAAGACCCAGTCTCTTTCTTGACCTGTGGATCAGGATATAGCTCTCAGTCACTGCTCTAGTGCCTTGCATTCTGCCATGATCCCCACTATGATGATAATGGACTAAACCTCAGAAACTATAAGCAAGTCCCTAGTTATATGATTTCTTTTATGAGTTGTCTTGATCATGGAGTTTTTTCACAGTAATAGAACACTGACCAAGATAATATATCATACAGTTTAGTATAATGTCCACTACATTATGCCATACCATGCAGTTCATCAATATATTATTCTAACACATACAGTAGAGTTTACCATTATAGTGTCTTTACACAATCCTGCTGTGGGACAATGGTCTTGTACTCTGTAAAGATTTGTCACTTGTATTGGTTTAATAAAATGCTGATTGGCCATTAGCCAGGCAGGAAGTATACCCAGAACAGGAGAATTTTGGGAAGAGGAAAGGCTCAGTCTGCAGTCGTCACCCAGACACAGAAGACACAAGATGAGAATGCCTCACTGATAAAAGGTACTAAGCCACATGGCTGACTCAGACAAGAATTTTGGGTTAATGTAGGATGTAAAAATTAGTTAATAAGAAGCCTAAGCTAATAGGCCTACCAGTTTATAATTAATGTAGACCTACTCTGTGTGTTTCTTTGGGACTGAACGGCTACAGGACTTGGTGGGACAGAAACCATACAGTTTAAAACTTTCAAATTTCATATTGATAGATTTTAACATATTCACAGAATGTCTAGCATTCTTCAAGGAATTTTGAAATTTTCTTACCACCTCCAAAAGAAACTCTATTGTCATGAACATTTCTGCTCAAGTGACCTTTGTCCTCTCCCTAAGCAGCCATTAACCTAATTTCTCTTTCCACTGTGTGTAGCAGTTATATTCATGTGGTTTGTGGGCTTTTGTGGCTTCTTTACTCAGTTTGTTTCCAAGGTTCATCCATGTTGTAGCACATATCAGTTCTTCATTTTGTTGACCTGCTTGGCAACAAATAATTATTCGGGTTGTTTTTAGTTATTTTCTGTTTGAATAACATTGCTGCAATTGCTTATAAACGGAGTTTCAAAGCTAGGTCTGGATGTCTCTTTTGTCCAATATTTTCTTGCATTATGTAGTTTGTCTCCTCTACCCTCCTTAGTAGTATGATTTTGGGAAAGAGTTTTTTATTTTAATGACATTTTTAAATTATTTATTTTCTTTTATGCTTTGTATATTTTGAGGCTTCAGAAATACTGCTAACTAAAGCTCACACAGATTTTTTTTCCTGGATTCTTTTTCTTTCAGGACGTTTTATGGTAAAGATCTCAACGTTAGCCTTCTGATGCATTTCATGTCAATCTCTGTGCAAGGCACACGGTGAGAGTCAGGGTCATTTCCCCAGTGTCTGCGCATTCCAGCAGCATTTTTGAAGAGCCTGGTTTTTCCCTGTGACCTTTGTGAAAATTCACTGGTGATGTATGTGTGGTCCTATTTCTAGACTCCCACCGTGACTTTTATCTATTTCTCCTTGTAGTTTTATTGATTTTTTTTTTACTCTGTAGCTTGAAGCTGTGTTATTTAGTACATAGATAGACATTTAGGATTATTATATTTTCTTTACAAGTTCACTCCTTTATCACTGTGAAATGACTTTATCCATGGTGATGTTCTCTGTCTGAAATGTGTTTTGTCTGATATTGAGGTAGCCACCCTAGCTCCCTTTAACCACTTTTAGTTTTTCACTCTGTATGTATTTACATATGTATATTAGAGTGTGTTTCTTGTTAGCAGTATATAGTTGGATCTTGTTTACTCCAGCGGCTTGGTGTTTTCGTTGAAGTGTTCAGAGCATTTATGTTCTTTGTACTCCCTGCTGCTAAAACTGACATCATCCTGCTTAAGCTCCTCTCTTGTCATTCTTCTCCTTTGGGTCTTCATCTGCCTTTCCTTGGTTTAATGGAATTTTTTTTATGAATTCGGTTTGTCTTGATAGTTTATTAGCTATAATTTATTGCTTTGCTATTTTAGTAGCTGTCTCAGTGTTTGTTTAACTTATTAGTGATATTTTTCTACTACACAATGTAATAAAATTACAGTAGAATGCTCTCATTTTTGTTTCCTGGTCTTCGTGCTATTTTGTCTTCCATTTTACATATATGTATATTCATACACACACACGAACACACACACAGACATATATGCTATAAATCCACAATTCATTTTCAGTTTTGCTTAACAATTGTTTCTTAAAGAGATATAAATAATGAGATCAATCTTTATATGTGGTTATCATTTCTGGTCCTTTTTGTTCATGTATGTAAATTTGGGTTTCTATCTAGTGTCATTTTCTTCCTGCTTGGAGGATTTCTTTGATTGTTTCTTATAATTTAAGCTTTTTTCTTAATGTTTAATAAAGCATTTATTTATGGTTCCTTGTCTTGAGTAGTTCACATTGACTTCCTGGGTTTTTAGCCTGCTCCTTGGAAGGTCTCTACCCTGCTCTCAGGTAAACTTTAATGGTGTCTGAGATGCCTACAAGGTGTATCTTGTAGACTGTAGTAGCAGTCTCATCTCTACAGCCCCATGGTGAAACCCTCTGGTGTTTGGAATGTGGCTTAGTGCTGGCCGCTGCCTATGGAAGGTTCCCTAGTCACTGTGTTGCTCCTTGGCTGCAGGCTGGCTCACTGCTCTCCTGCTGTCCCAGGGCCCAGTGATAGCTTTTCCTCTCCTTAAATAGTCGCTCCCACTGACCCTACCCTTCACCTTTTGTTATCTTGACCAAGCCTACTTGTAGCATTTGTGCTCCCTCCAAACAGGTGTTATGGGTCCATCCTGTTTAGTATTAATCACATGGGAAGATGGGGGAATAAGCCAGCAGAATCAGAGAAGAACCTTAGTTAAAACAGTTATCTCTGGACTTCTGTCTGTATGTAGTACCTCATTCTCCAGACCTTGAAGGACCAGCAGCTGCTCTCTGGGTCTCTTACTTATGTTTATTGGTCACTTGCCCTCATAATCTCAATGATCCAAGGGTTTTCTTCCAAGTCTGTGTGAGCCCAAAGCAGCAATAAACCAAAGAGAATAAGGGCTTTCTGTGTCAAGTTTATTCTGACTTGCAGGCTGTGAGATAAAGTCCCAATTCTTACAGGACTTTGATTGGCATTAGAGCGGCCATCTCTGATGGGTCTTGGTAGTCTCTGTCCTGGATGGACGCTGGCTTTTCTTTGTTCCATGACTCTCCTGCTAGATGTAAGCACTGTATCTGCAGTGCAGCATCCTTTGGTCAGCACCTGTCAGCTAACATCCATGTGGTTTCTTCTGTCCCTATAGTCAGATTGTCGCCAGAGGACTACTGGATGTCTTCCGGGATGTCAGCCACAGTGACAAGGACATACTGGCAGTCATGGAGGTGGCTGTCCGACTGTCAGAAGATGCAGGTTTGTTCAGTTCTGTAACTTTTTTACTTGTACATTTCTTAAAAATTATATGGTACAAGTGCTAGCTAAAACTGAAAGGCCTTCATATTAATCAGCGAGCTTTGGACAGTGTCTGACTGTGGATGGATTTTGTCACGACGAACAGACGTCTTACTTGAGAATGACTCAAATTGCCCTTATTTTTGGAACATCGGAGTGACTAATGTGATGAAGGCCATTTGCCCTGGCAGTTAGGCCTTTTGTATTTCTTGAGTTTTGCCAGAGTGCTGGTTGCTAAGAAATACCCAATCAAAAGCAGTTCTTTGGATTAGAACAATCCAGTCATTAGTTTCTCTCACCTGTGATCTCTGTGGACTGATCTTGATTTTTCCTGTTCTCTCTGCCTCCCTGTGATTGCTATTCTGGAAGAAAGCACGCCGCAGCATAGCAGATGCTGCCTCCCCACCCCCGCCACCCTGTAAAGATGAGGAAGATGAATGAGTAGTGGGCTTGCCAGTCTTGACAGCTGCCCCGCAGCCCCCCTTCTCTGCACTCATAATGAATGGCGAGCTGCTTCAGAAAGTTCCAGAAATCTGAGGCCTTAGAATTTGATCATTTTAGCTGAAGATAGAAAAGAAGCCTTCCATGTAGCTCTGCTATCAGTTTGAAATATTCATGTGGATGTGACACGGTGCTTTTAAAAAGGCCCAAGTGGACGTTCTCAGGCTTTGAATGGATTCTCTTCGGAAATGAATCACCATTTACAGTGCCGCGGCAATTATATATTTGTGTTAAATTTAATGTGGTGTACTGGAGCTTGAGCGCTCTTTTGTTTAATGCTTTGCCTTAGAAATAATTGGGATGCGTGGATTGTGGGGGAGTGCATTTGTGAAAGAATTATTTATAATGTATACATCCTGGCTGGAATTTAAATAAGCACAACCCATAGGTCTGACAGAGAAGCCATTAGCTGTAATGGCTTTTGGACGCTGGCCCAGCATGCAGACTTCTCGGTCCTTTCTCCATTTGTATATGGCTTGTTATAATAGAGTTGTCATCCTCTCTTCCTTTCATGTTTTTATATTGCTGTGTGCCTTACTAGCTTTTTAAGGCTGTCTGTAGCATAAATACTCTAAATGGGAAATGATTTTTAAACTGCATTTGTCTAATTTTCTTGATGAAGTATTTCAGTAAGCAAAGCTAGAAACCATTAGTATATACCATGTCAGATGCTTGACTTCTCCTTATCTAACTCTCTGTCCCATTGCTCCAGAGCCCACAGTGCGAACTGAGCTGATGGAGCAGATCCCGCCTGTCGTCGCTTTCTTACAAGAAAGCAGGTTGGATTTTCCTGTGGTGGTCTCCCAGTACCTCGTGCCTGTTATTGTGCGGTACCTCGTGGATCCAGACAAGCAGGTGTGAGCATGCCCACCAAGGTCTCATCAGCACACTCTCTCTGGTTCATCTATAGCTCAGGAAAAGCCTTGGTAGAACTAACTGCAAATAAGTCCTCTCATCTCACGGGAGAAGCTGACTGTATTCCTTCTTACTGCAGAGGATTCTTCTCTCTAACTTTTCATTATGGATGTGTTCAAACACCAATGGATAGAACATAAAAGTGAGGTTCACGAACCTTCTACTGCTTCAGCCATCATTACCACTTCACCAGTCGTCTTTGTTGATCTCACCCAGAGAGACTCCGTCACAGGAAAGTAGTTCCCGACACCGCATCCCTCAACTGCCAAAGCTTTAGCATAGCTCTCTAAGAAATAAAGAGCTGAGGGTGTAGCTCAGTGGTAGACACTTGCTTAGTGTACAATTCCTACATTTAGTCCTTAGCATGACAAAAACATATATAGAGAGATACCGTTATTTTAAAACTTACCATTACTTATTTGACCCAGTCAGCTCTGCCAATTAGATCATCCTAGTTTCTCATCAGTGTGTGTTCTGTTTGGGTCTGTGTTTTTGAGGCAAGCTAGCCTTCCACTTGCTATGTAGACCATGCTGGCTCTGGCTCCTCTTTCCTCAGCATCTTCATTGCTGAATTATGTTGAAATATGAGCGGCGGGGCTGCGTCCCCAACACCCCAGCCGCTTGGCTAGCTCACGCCCGAAATAACAACACACAAACTGTATTCATTTAAAGAACTGCTTGGCCCATGAACTCTAGCCCTTACAGGCTAATTCTCGCACCTGGACTAGCCCATTTCTAATAATGTGTGTAAGCACCCCAAGGTGTGCTTACCGGGAAGATTCTAGCCTACGTCCATCGTGGGTCTCAGCTTCATGCGTCTGCCTCAGAGCGCAGAGCTATCGCATCTACCCGGGAGAGCTGAGCATGGCGTCTCTGCTCCAGCAGAGCTGTCCGGTCTCTCCGGAAGCAGAGCAGAGTCTGACCTCACTTCCTCTTCCGCCCAGAATTCTATTCTGTTTACTCCTCCCATCTATGTTCCAAGCCATGAGGCCAAGCAGCTGGTTTATTATAACTTAACCAATGAAATCAACAGATTGATATATGACACTCCCACATCAGAATTATGGACCAGCAACACCACACATAGCAAGAATTGTGACTTTTCTAGATGACCCATTTGGGTGTAAATACAAACAAAGTTGCCACATGGATTTTCTTAAGTCTGTGAAGCTTGCGCGAGCTGTGCCTCTCTCCTCTCCTTGCTGTGTATTAACTAAAGAGCCCAGGACATTGGTGCTGTTGATTTTTCCACCTTGGATCAGCAGTAGTATCTCTAGCCTTAAGATCTCCTTCATTCCAGGTGTTTTCTATAAACTGGGCGTTGAGTCTAGAGGTTCAACCAGAAATGAGTTTTCTGTTTCCACAAGGGTACTTTTGAGCTGGGACCTCCCTTCTGTGTTGAGTAGGAAGTATAGAAGCTCTGGGAGCTTCTTTGTCGAATGCTGAGCTTGGCTCCAGGTAATATGCCATCTGAAGTTTAATGTGAAGGTGCCCATCTCTTGGAGCAGACCTGGGTAGTCCTCATGGAGAACACTATTTCCTTGGAGGCTGTATGATTTGATACCTGAATTCTGTCATTCATTGCTCTCTGGGCTAATGCCTAGAAGTCTTCAGTGAAGAGCTTTCCTACTGTCTGTTTGAGAACGCAGACCACATAGACAGCTGAGATCAGTTCTTTATGTTCTTCCTTTATTTACTGGTTTCCAGGATAATTAATTGTCATGCTCTGTCTACAGATGACCGCTGAGGCTCTGTCATTGGTTGGCTGTCAGAATTATGGAGACCAGCTAGGCTTTAGTGTGATGACTGTGTTCCCATCATTGTGGGCATTGCTTCTTTTTGGTAATTGTTTTTCACTCTGGCTTGTGGGAGCTATTCTAGAATCTTCCTGACATGTCTAGTGGACTTTGAGAGTTTACCTCCAGCTGAAACTGACTGCTTCTTCACAGGGTCAGTGCTCCTTTAGCTGGGGAAATGCTGAGAAACCAGAACATGGGTACCAGGGTGCTCCTGGCTATGCACTCAGCCATTACTTCTAGTGATGTCAGTTTTTAAAAATAAAATGGCCCATTGGTTTATCGGTATATCCAACTTTTATCAAGGATAGCTTTTACTTCATTTTCCTATTTTATCTTCTTTTTTCATTTTGTAGAGTGTAAGTCTCATGTGGTAGCTGGTTTGTTTGCGTTTAATCCACATTACTACACTGAGGTGTGTGTGTGTGGGGGGGTGCTGGGGTGGGACCCAGATCCTCCTGCTTGCTAGACACGGACTCTTCAATGGATGAGGTACATCCCCATCCTTGTAAGTTGCTCAGCCTGACTTTAACGTTGGATTTCTTGCCTCTGCCTTAGGTTGTTGAGAAAATAGGCATACCAGACTAGCCTGAGTGGCTTTCATCTACTGTGTTGTTTGTTTGTTTATTTTTGAGATTGTGTTCTAATTACATTTCCTTCCCTTCCTTCCCTCTAAACCTTCCCATTTACCTTTCCCCAGTCTCCTTCAAATTCACTGTCTCTTTTTCCAGTTGTTATTTATTGCATGTATGCTTTGTAGATGCATATGTACATTCCTAGATATACTCTATAGAGCGCATAATCTATAGAGCGCATAGTCTTTTGCTCTTTTGAGACAAGGACTCACTATGTTGCTCGGGATGGCCTTGAACTCCTGGGCTCCAGTGCCCTGCTGTGGCTGAACACGTTTATCTTCAAGAGTAGGAGTAGCTCTTATCATTCTGACTCTGAAGCATTGAAAATATTCACCCAATTCCCAAACTTAAAACTCTCAGTATATTTGGGGAAGTCTAACCTTCCTTCCTTCCTTCCTTCCTTCCTTCCTTCCTTCCTTCCTTCCTTCCTTCCTTCCTTCCTTCCTTCCTTCCTTCCTTCCTTCCCTTCTGACTCCCTTTCTTCTGGGCCTGCTTCCTCAAGTGGTATCAGTCTTGCTGCTCTCCAGAGAGTGCCCTGTTGCACCCTGGCCTTTCTCAGGTGGCTGTGCCCCCTCCTGCCTTCTTCATGCCATATGCCCTGTTCTTGGGGCAGTGACTCAAGGTGGGTCTTGCTCCAATTTCCTACAGTGTCAGCCTCTGAGGTTAGGGATAGCACATATGCTGTTGGACACTGGGGAAACTTTAGTACCTATGACTTTGTTGAAGGGGTCTGGGAAACTGTTCAGGGACTCTCACACAAACTTGATGACCCAAGTTTCAGTCTTTGGAAGCCATGTGGAAAGGTTTGATACAGTGGAGCGCATCTGTAAGTCCAGCATTCCTGCTCGTGATGGGAGCAGAGACAGGAGAGTTACCCGGAAACTTGAGGGCCACCCAGCCTGGGGTCTGCAGCCCAGTGGCAGAAACAAGAGGGGTTGCCTCATAAACAGGGTTGGAAGAGAGAACCAACTCCTAAAAGTTCTCTTTCACACATACGCCATGGAATACATGTACCCCCCCCCACACACACACAAACGCTGTGAAGGAAGTCTCTGTCCTTTGTATTTGTATCAGTGTATTTCAGAGATGACTTCCTATAAAGGGTGAAAGTGTTTAAATTTTTAATGACATACCATGTTTAGATTACCACTATTTTCAAGAAATTCTAAAAATTTAGTTTGTGTTTTTCTTGATCTGGTGTTCTTAAAAAGGACAGACAGTCATTTTTAACTGTTACACTGTGTGACAGGGCGCAATAGAGTTTTCAGATAAGGAAAGAGCCATCCTATTTCCACTCTCCTGCCATGGATATTTTGATTATCTTTGCATTTTCTCCCACACGCGTCTGATCATAACGCAGGGCGGCTTCCTCAATCCGTTCATTTGTTCTGACAGTTTCTGAGTGCCCATTATGAGCCAAGCCTGGTGTGTTGTGCCTGGGGATGAAGAGATGAACAGGGCAGATTTCTGCCCTCAGCAAGCTCGTCTGAGGACCACAGACATTCTCCTGTTTCTTCATCATTTCCACTGGTTTTAATTTTGTTGTGTGCCCCATCTTCAGCTTGGCATGTGTCTGAGTGTTTTGTGAACTGTGCGGGCATCCACTTTTGTTCTTCTGTTGACTTTTTCTTTCTCTTTTGATGCATTCTTGAAAATGAGAGACTGTCCAAGGGTTTGCCTTTTTCCTGACCTCTGTTGCCTGTCTTTGCTGTATATTTTGTTCCAGACCGTTGGATCTACAGCCCCATCATATCTGAGTCTATAGTAATCTCTGCTCTGCATCTGGGCTCTCTCCCTCTACCCCCTCAGATCCATCTCCATGTTCCTGCCCTTTGGTAGAACTTCTGCTACCTTGGCTCTACCCAGCTAGGCCTGGCTTCTTCCAGTCTTGCCTGCTGAGCTCAGTCTGTGGGAGGGTGTCCTGTCATGCATTGATTGGTGCTATTGGAAATTTATGGGCTCCAGTCGCAGCTGGATGTGCAGTACTGCCCGGCAATCCTTTCCCCTGTCCCTCATCAGCTGCTTCTCCCATTATCCTTGGCTGTTCCCTTAGACCTTTGCCATTCTCATCAGGCCCCTCACCCTGCCCTGCCTTTCGCCAAGCAAGTGACCTTGCATTTTACATCACGGAGAAAATAGAGGCCTTCAATCTTCATCCCCTATTGCCGTGAACAGAGCCACCATCTGAGATATTCAATTCCCCTGAGCCACGGCCCGGGAACTCTGGAAACCCTTCCCCCTTACCTCCACATCCAGTCAGACCCCAGACCCGTGCCACATATCCATTGTTTCCATCATAAATGCATAACCTCAAAGGCCTCCTCTCCTCCTGCCTTTCCATCTTCAAAAACAGAGCTATGAGAAAGTTGACTACACTGGGTAGAGGTTCGAGGCTGCCTCCTCCATCCCCACCGTTAGCCTCATGAGGGCCTGCTCACGGATCCAGCCTCCTCCTCCCAATGCCCTTCTCTCCTGTCCAGGTCTACCTCTCATAATCAGGTGCTGGCTCTTAGGAAGTGTGCAGTGGGCTGCTGGCAGTGCCTAGAAGTCCTAGTCGGTCAGTGTTCTAGTACAAACATGGGTGGTTTTGCCTCAGCCTAGGATAGGTGCCTTATTCTGTCAGATTGATGAGCCTGAGGAGTATTGGCCACAGCCCTGCGGTAATACCTAAATCCTGCAGCTGTGATTGCACAGCTGGACAATAGCTGCTGTGCTCCAGGTTTGCATGGCACATGGCATTCATTTCTTCATTCTGTGTCTGATGAGAGGAGGCTGAGGTGTGGGAAATGAGGCTATGGCTGGATACCAGACCTGGATCCTGAGCCTCACTTGTCTGTCTCGGAATTGTCCAGGCTCTTGTGGACCTCTTGCCTGTCATCAAATCTGAGCCCTTCCCTGTAGGAACCTTTGTGACCTAGCCCCAGAGCCTGGTACCTTGTTGCAGTCCTTTGAAGTTACGTGAGCCAGGAAGCTGGGAAACCTCTGTCCTCAGCAGGCCTCGCCCCCTGCCTTCTGCCCTGGCTGACCATCTTCTAAAGAAGTGTTTTCGCTCTGCCTACTCTCAGCTTGTGTTGTTTCTGTGCCTCAGTTTCCCTCCTCTTTGCTTCTTGGCTTTGGTCCCATTTCCTGCAGCTGATCTCCTTGGAGGATCTGCTGCAGCCCCCACACACTCCCACTCAGTTTGGGCCATTCCGCTCCCTCTGTTGGGCTTCCGCTCCTGGTAGCTGGTAGACATGGAGCTGTTTGGCCTTGAATTCAGCTAATCAGCTCATTTGGAAGATTCAGTACTCTTGTTTTAAAAACACGTTCATTTTTAAAATTATCTTGACAAATTTAATCACTTGAGAGAAGGATCATAAAATAAACACGCGTCTCATCCCACCCGCTTTATGTAACAAGTGTTTGCAGTTTGCTTGACAGCTCTTTGCTTTTGATTTTGAGGTTACAGTAGTGGTTCCAAGTGCTCTGTACCCCTCTCCTGCTCAAAGTACCACCATCCTTTGCATGCAGGTTGTCGTAGGCATCCCACTTGTGAGAGTGGCTGAGTGGGGTTGTTAGCACATCACATAAACTATGTGGCTCTGCTTTCTGGGCCATGGTCTTCTGTTCCTTTTGTTGTAGGCTACTGAACTAACCTGTGCTGGGCTCAGCTGTTCACTTTATGTGTGCTTACCATTGCATTGTACCACCCAGCCCCACCGTGATCCAGGTCACCTGTTAGCAGCCTCTCTTGGTTTCTGCTTGATCCACACTCCACTCCACTGCCACTTTGGGTGTTTGAGATGGGATTTGGATGCCTGTCAGTCATTTACTGCAAATGGTACGAAGGAAAAAGGACCACATGCATCCCTTGATCCCCTCGGGGTCCTGGGCTCTGACAGTGGAAACTTTGGGAACAACAGCCAGCTTCTACTTGAGCACCATGTGTGCTAACTACTGTTCTCAGCTTTTGCATCCTGAGAGGCCTTTGATGCTTAGGTCAGGCCTCTGATGGCTTAAAGGTGTGATTCTTTATGGTGGTGTATACAGATGACTATTTTGGCTTTTACTCTCATTATTACCTTCAACCAATTACCTGAGTTATACAGCACTTTACTATTAGATTGGGTTATTGTAGGCGATCTTGTCCAACTGTTGCTAATGTAATCACTCAGCACATTTGAGATTGGCCAGGCAGTTAGTAGGTTAAATGTAGTAAGTGCATTGTTGTTTGCTTGCTTGAATTGAGATAAGATCTCAACTGTAGCCTGAGCTGGCCTGGAACTCACAGTGATCCTGTTGCTTCAGCATCCCAGGTACAGGGATGATGAACCACCCCTATCTTTGTTTCTGTTTCTGATTTTTACTTTTAGAGACAGGGTTTCTCCGTGTAATAGTCCTAGCTGTCCTAGAACTTGCTTTGTAGACCAAAGAGACCAGACCCTTACACTGGCCCTGCTCTCTCTACCCTGCCTGCTCTTTTTCCTCTTTCTTCTGTTCTGGCGTCAGTAGCCAGGGCAGTGTCAGCAGTCACCCTTTGCTTCTCTGACCTTCCGAGGTAATGGCCTTCCTAAGCCTTTTTTCTTACCCCTTCTCTCCTGTCTGCAGGGCCAGGAGCTCTTTGCCCATGGTTGTCCTTTGGCTCCACTCCAGGTTGCTACTCTGTTATCATCACTCATACCAAAACATGATCTGTCACTTCTGTGCTCTTAAGCCCTCGGCAGCACTCACTGCTCCCCAGAGAGCCTCACTGTGACAGCCTTTCCTGGGCTTTCTTCAGCTCACCCTCAGTTCCTGTTCCATGAAGGTTTCCCTTGCTTCTGTCACCTGGAACTTGTCACGTCCCCAGGTTTCATCTCCCTCTTCTCCTGAGCTCTTCTGTGGACCTGAGGTCCCTTTCCCTTGCTGGTGTGTTGTTTCCCTGGGGCAACTGCAACAAAGTGCCAGGAACTTGGCAGCTCTAAGCCTCGGGCCTTTCTTTACTCTCACAGTTTGGGAGAAAAGTGTTGTCCGGGTTGGTCCACCCGCCCTCACCTGCCCAACTTTTGCTGCTTGTGTCACTTGACCCTCCACTTGTAAGTATTTCTTCACATTTTCTCATCCCATTTTTCTCTTGTCATAATACATACTTGTGATGACATTTATGATCACTGGGCTAATCCTGGCTGGCATCAGGGTCCTCTTAATTACATTTTCAAAGGTCCTCTTTAGAGAAGTTTTGGTGGCCATTCATATTCCATCATTATGTCACAATACCAGACAACCCAGTTACCAAGAGGAAAGGTTAAGCTGCCGTGGTGGTGCACGCCTTTAATCCCAGCATTGGAGAGGCAGAGACAGGTGGGTCTCTGAGTTTGAGGCCAGCCTGGTCTACAAAGCAAGTTTCAGGACAGCCAAGGCTACACAGAGAAACCCTGTCTCGAAAAACAAACAAGCAGAAGCAAAAAGGGTATATTTGGACTCCTGGGTTCAGAAGTTTTGTGCCATGGAGTCGGCTCCGTTGCTTTTGGACCTGTGTGGAGTAGATCATTATATCAGGGAGCATGCATGGAGCAGAGCAGCTCACTATGGTGGACAGGAAGCAAAAACGAGAGTCCAGAAAAGACCCAGTGACTTGTTTTCTTCTGCTAGGCTTTCACCCCCTGACCCAAGGGTCCCCCACATCTTCCATCATTGCCACAGGTCAAGGACTGAACCTTTCAGTTCATAGACAAGATCCAGACACTACCACTAGTAGCTGCATGTTCCAGAGACTGACACAGAAATAAATGCCTTTGGAGAGCGCTAACTGTCACCGCTCTTGGCAGTGCCTCTCTTTGGACACCTGTCTCCAAGTCTCCTCTTTGACTCTGCAGTTCCTGCTGTCCTCTCTACATCCTTGGTGACCACTTATTCTGGCCATGGCCCCACTGTGCTCTGTGTAGCCTTAGTGGTTGCCTGTGAGTGTCCCGACTCCCTCCTGGTGCACTCTACGTGTACTTGGTGCCACCTCCAATGAGGAGTCTCCGTCCAGGCTGCCTCAGAAATGTTTCTTTGTCTCATGTCCTTAGTTCCTGGCACATGCCTGCTCCTCAATCAGTGTGACACCTGAACATTGTAGCAGGACCCAGTCTTGTCACCATGCTGGGTAATATTGCTAGGCCATCACCTTTCTTGACACAGCCAACTTAGCAGGGTCTCATCCCTCCGCACTGGGTTCTGCCTTCGATGCCTTGCAGGCCCTCAGTATTGTCTCGCATTGCTTGCCATTCATCTGGAGCACTACAACCAGAGCCATCTTTTTGAAGCACAGTTTCCCTCCCTGCACTAGGGTCAGAAGCCGTGGTGCCATGTAGCCTTTGTGGCTACAGCCTCGGGGCTTGCCCTCTTGTACCCTGCTATGGGCTGATCATTGGTGACAATGTCTGTTCACCTCTGGGGCCCATTATGATTTTCTTGCCTTTCTCTCTTGACAATGGACTGCATATTTCATTGCTCTCTCTATAAATGGGAATTCAAGTGCTTTCATTTCCTAAAACATGCCTCTTTAGCTTCTTTTGGTCCCTTTACACCCTTTTGTTGGCTCACTGCACAATGGCCAAGGACAAGAAGCATCTTTTTTCTGCCAGTGCTCTCCACCATGATGGGGCTCTTCCAGAAACCACTCAGGTCTTCTTGTGTGTGGTGATCCAGGTTTGCATAGGAGCAGGAGTAGATGCTGGCATTCATTCTGATACCTATGCCAGTGGGGCAGTGTGCGTCCATCCAACCAGCACTAACAGAATGAGATGTTCTGTGTTACCTGCTGTTTGTACTAAGGGTGTGCTGAGAATAAGAGGCATTTCAGACATGGGACTTCCCTACAATCTCACCCTCTAGAAGACACATGACAGTTAGGAATCATACCCAAAACATGTCCATATGGGAGGAATGATTCCACCAGGGGCTCTCTCCGGAAGTGGAGCAAAGAGTAGACCCAGAGGAAGTGGAGGGCCACTGGGGGAGAGCTGTCTCCGTCCTGAGAAAGCATCTCCCCATCCCCTGTTTCACCTTCTTCTATTCCCCTCTAGGTCAGAAAATCCAGCCAGGAGGTGCTGCTGGCTCTTGTGGAGCAAGGTCTAATTTCCCAGTGCGACATCGAAGGCAAAGTGTGTCCCATTCTGCTGGAGCGCTCTGCTGCTGACTGTGACGATGAGTGGCAGAGCAGAGGCCATGAGTGTAAGTCTTCCTGGGAGTGACTTGCAAACCTGGTGGCTAATGTAGGACTTGAATTCTCACAAGAGTTGGATTTTGGCCAGCACCATTCCCTGAGTGAGGTGGCCAGGGCTCATTCAAGGCAGTTCCACTAGTACCTTTGAACCTGTTTTTAGACATGCTCATTCTTGGAGCACCAGGGCTGGAGGAGTCCCAGCCATGTGAGTGTTGCCAACCACTGATTCAAACCACTGCTGCTGAGGATCTCCATTCTCACGGCAAAACTCCTCAGCCTGGGGATTTTACCCTTGTTTCTCCCAGTCATGGGCTAGGAATAATTCAACAGACCTGATGTCTTCTGTCGATGCCAAGAAGGTGTGTAAGCAGTGATAGATCCCTGACAAGTGGGTGTGGCAGCACACTGGCAGAAGCAGAGAGGGGAGACTCAGCCTCTGCCCTGCCATGTTGGTTTTCCCTGTGGCATCCTGTGGTATCAGGTACATATACTATTAGTAAGGGGCTGTATAGTAGTCCTGGCTTCCTCCTCTCGTTATTTGATGGTGAGCACTGCTGGGTTCTGCTGTGCTCGCCCAGTGCCACAACCTGGCCTTGCTCCTCCTCTGTGTTCAGGGACCATCATGGGTCCACCTGATTTCCTTCAAGCACTCCCCTCTGTTGGCCCGTGCAGATGAGACTGTGTGCTGGACCCTTTCTGGGAGTTACAGTTCAGAGCTGCAGGATCGGCCTGGCCTGGATGATGAATGCCGGGTGAGCAGATAGTTGTTTTCTTGTTCAGAAAGGAATGACGTTACAGGAAGGAATTTTTTTTTCCCCAAAATGCAAAAGCATTATACGCCATGTAGCTAAAAAATTATATTGCAGAGTCAGAACGTTTGGCAATTATTCTTCATTTATATAAAAGTTTTTTTCAACTATGCGTTAAAGGTCTGGATTTTTAAACTAATTTAATTTTTTGCATATTCCATATGTTTATAAGATGAATCAGTCTGAGGAATAATTGATTATTAAAATTCAAATTCTCCAGGGTTCTTTTATAAATTTCAAGTTTCTCTACAAGAAATTTAATTTACTTTGCAAAATGAACCTGGATAATAGCATTTAGCCAGGGTGTTTGGCAGTGGAGCAGTGAACTTTGCCAAGTAGATCTTCTTTTTCATTTGCAAGTTGGTCCAGTGAGTTTCCAAGGTTACAGCTGGCAGCCAAGAATCTTATCCCTAAAGACTGATAATGCCACAGAGAATAATGCTGAAGGCATTTCTGCATGATTTTTATTTTGTTTTGTTTCCAAACACTCCATTCTTATCAGTGGTGTCCAACCCCCCCACCCCTTTTTTTTTTTCGTTTTGGTAGGACTATTTGGAAAATATAACAAGCCTTCCATAAACAATCCCCACAGGCCATTTGCAGACTAAATTGGTTTCTGGTTTGTGATTTGAAGCCCTACTGTGCATGCCCAGACCAGTCATGCAACTCTGTCATCTTATGTTTGGAGGGCTTGCTTGTCTTTCTGTGGATCCCACAGGAGCAGAAGATGCTGTTCTATGGCCCGACTGTGCTCTGGTCCAGTTCTTTCCCTGGATCCTGGAAGTTAGGGGGCCCTGGAAACCAAGAGCTGTGGGGCTGTCTTCTTTTCAGCTGGGAAATGACAATGTATGTGGCATGTAGGTGATTTTATTTGAGGAAGAAAAGACTACATGTATGTTATGGAGCTCCCCAAGAAAATTGTTGTCTGGTTCAGTGGGCAGTACCTTAAACTCTACAATAATAGCGTGTGTTTACTGAGAACGGAGAGATGGTGATGTTAGAAGCGGATTGGACTGGACAATACCCTCTACATTCTGTACTCTGTGGCCATGTGTGTAAATGTTGTGGCTCTGCAGATGCTCAGAAGGAGACTGTTCCGCGGGAAATGGCCTGTCACATGGATGACATACACATCTCTCTCTTCCTCAGCTTCAGTTCTCGTCGGGAGTCACAGTCAGTCAGTTCTGATTGTCCTGTGGGGACAGGACTCAGGTCATGTCTTATCCCATGTATATGCACATTGCTTTGCTGACGTCTTTCCCTATACCTTGATCACTGCTAGTGATGCCTCCTCTCTGTGATCACAGGCTGCTGCATGTCCATCTCCTTTCACTTAGCAGTTGAGTTATGAAGTTCCGTTTACCTGTCCCTTGAAATGGTGAGCTCTGACCTAGGGTCACTGTGGCCTCGCACCATCAGCGCCCAACACAAGGCCAAGCTCAGAGTCAGTGCCGAATAAATGTTAGTTGTTGGATGAATGGATTGGTAAAATCTGTGAGCGCTGTATCTTGTAATTATATCTCAACAGGATAAACAGGCCACTGGAGACCAATTATAATTCCTCTTGCTTGCAGGGAGGCTATTAGCATTCTGCGATGATAACTAATTGTCAGAAGCCTGTTTTTCTCTCAACACGTTTTCACAGTAAGGCTTCCTCATTTTTTGTCGTCATCCCTACTTTGAGCTCATTTTTATTTGTGCATTTATTTAAGAGAATGCTGTGGTGGGCTGTAAAGAATAGTTGGCTACGAGCAACTGGTGACGACCGTCATTCCACACAAGTGCTTCCCAGGGCTGCTGGAATGTCATTTCTTGTCACTGTGTGCTGCCTTTTAATGATTCTGGATTTGTCTTATATGGTATAGTAATAAGGTCATGTGGGTGTGGTGGACGAGGAGGAGTGGAAAGAGATACAGGGAGCTCTTTAGTTCCCCGTTGCCCTGGATACAGAGGTCTCACATCCTCATTTATTGTGGCTGTCAGTGTACACTCGGCTAAGCATTACATCAGAAACAGGTGTCCTCAGAGTTTGAAGACAGAGGCCTTTTCCTGATTTGTGTTCTGGGCTTGGATTACCCTTCCCTCACCCCAATTAGGTTTCTTTGTGTTTCTTTCTCCCCCTCCCCCATTCTCTTGTCTGTGTACAAATTCTCAACAGAATGATGGCTATATTGCCCACCCAGAATTCTTCACTGTACTATGGCAGTGCTGTGTCCCTGAGAGACAGAGCTTGGAGACAGAATGTCTGTCCTTCCTTCCTTCTGTTTTTTTTTTTCCTGTTTACTTATATTGGAATATTCTTCCTAAAGGAGGTAGCTTTTTATTATTTTAATTTCAAACTTGCAGAAGAATTAGAAAAATATAAACATGTGCTCCTATGTGCCCTTGTTCCTATTTCTCTTGTAGCTTGTCACTTTTATGTGTGCCATCCTTTCTTTTCTGTTTGCACAGACATATGCATATGTGTGTAAAGCATGTGTGTATATATATTCTGCAAAGCATCTATGTATATATGCATGTATTAATACACATGTATATATGTGTGTCTATACACACACACACATACACACTAGCCATTTGAGAATGAGTTGGAGACTTGGTCATTTTGCATTGAAAGACTTGGGTGTGTGTTTCCTGACACAAGGATAGCACAGGGATGGAGTCAGAACATTTCAGTGAGTGCTGATGTCACCTAGCTTGACATTGCATGCCTGTCAGTCTCTCGGCCCTGAGTCATCCTGTCTCTGCTCTCCTGATCTTAGGTGGTTCCTAGGTGTTTGGGAGATCTCAACACAGTCTAGGCCAGTTCTTTTGTAGAGTGTTTTCTGTCTTAGCATTGCCTGCTGTCTCCTCCATTTTGGTGTTAGCCTCTGTTTCTCTGACAGGAATGTCATAGACATAAACATGTTCTTGGTATGTCATGGCAGGAAGCTTAGGACTCAAATACTGTTATGCTAATTTTGACATAGTCAGAGATGGTGTCTGCCAAATTCTCAGCTGCTGTGTCCTTTCAGAAGTAAGGAGAAAGCCTGGCAGTGGTGGTGCACGCCTTTAATCCCAGCACTCCGGAGGCAGAGGCAGGCGGATCTCTGTGAGTTCGAGGCCAGCCTGGTCTACAAGAGCTAGTTCCAGGACAGGGAACTGTTGAAATAAGAGCGGCGGGGCTGCGTCCCCAACACCCCGGCCGCTTGGCTAGCTCATGCCCGAAATAACAACACACAAACTGTATTCATTTAAAGAACTGCTTGGCCCATGAACTCTAGCCCTTACAGACTAATTCTCGCACCTGGTCTAGCCCATTTCTAATGATGTGTGTAAGCACCCCAAGGTGCGCTTACCGGAAAGATTCTAGCCTAAGTCCATCGTGGGT